TCAATGATCATTTTACTGAAATGTATAAAGACTGCAAAGGATGAAAAATCTTGAAGTCTGTATGAAATTGGAGGTAGTTTGAGGATTAAATTTTTTATGCTTTTTAAGCTCAAAAAGGGGGGATCGTATTATACATGAGATCGCATTATACACGAATAAAGTCTTTTTTTGTCTTTCACTAGAATCTGAGCCTAGTTGAAGGTGGCTGTCACAGCAACCTMAGGAAGCAGATCCAGATCGCTCACCTGTTTGGAGTACCTGTAGTGGTGGCGCTGAATGTCTTCAAGTAAATCTCTAAATATTTAAAAGCCTAACGTCAGTTATCACCTCTTCTGTTGTACAATAAATGGGGTTGCTGAACATTTTAGATCCAAAGATGCCAACTTCTTTCAGAGACCACCGATGACTTTCTGTTTTAGGACGGACACTCAGGCAGAGATTGACCTCGTGTGCCAGATAGCGAAGGAGTGCGGGGCGTCTGGCGCCGTGCCGTGTCATCACTGGTCGCAGGGGGGCCGAGGTTGTTTAGAGCTGGCCCAGGCTGTGAGCGAAGCAGCACACCGACCTTCAGACTTCCAGTTCCTCTACAACATCGAGGCGAGTGCAGAGGCTCCAGAGTGTGTTTTCACTGTAGCGCATTTATGTTTTCTGTGTAAAAAGTCTTTATTTTACTCAACATTGGATACTTTGCACTTAACAATGTTGACCTTTTTGGTCAGAAATGTGTTGAAGTACAAAACATCAGCTGGTTTGTGTTATAGACAACTGATAAATGTGACTTTAATTAACTTATTAAACTTATAATGTTCGTCTGTTATCTATGTGTCTGCATACAAAGAGTGCATCAACTTAGTTGATTTAAACAAATGGGCCTTTCAGTACTCATTATTTACACTTTTTTATTTTTTAGTAAAGTGCTAGAAGTTGAAGATGCAGGTGAAGGAAAAACATTAAATTTATTTWAAAAAAATCCCATCATTGTCCTTCCTAACTATTAAAAGATTTATATTTTTGGATGTCAGCATGTTTATTTAGTCACTTTTCCCTAAAATAGCTATTAAAATAATTTTATAAAATAAAATCTATCAACAGGCTAAAAGATCAAACACATAGTGTACGTATTTATCTTTACTCAGTTCAAATGGATGCATTTATTGTTAATATAAAGTCAGACTGTTTTTTAATTGCTTGTTTATCATAGATAAGTTAAACCTATGCTGTATAATTTATAAAGTTAGAGTATCAGGATAAAAATCCAACGTCAAATGAACTGAATTTGATTCCCATGAATCTRTTTTGACTTTATTTTCTCTCATATTATTTATTTTTCTTTTTATTTAATCTTTGTTTGTACAAGTAATTGAATTAAGACGCTTGGTTTCGTTCTAGAGAGACTCGTTTCAAAGTCGACCCGTCTCAAGGAAACGTGTTCCCAGTTCACTAAATTTAATTTGTGGACYTTCCTTTGAGTGCGCTTCCTTTGTGTATCCACCTGTCGCTGACGCACCGTCTTTCCCACAGATGCCCGTGGTGGAGAAGATCAGAACAATAGCCCAGAAAGTGTATGGAGCCGATGACATCGAGCTGTCTCCAGAGGCCAAGAGCAAGATCGATTACTACAATCAACAAGTGAGATCACTGCTGCTGCCATAATCAACTACCACACTCTTATGAGTCATGTAGCCAGTCTCCTTCCTCTGTCTCCTGGGTCTCTACAACCACACAAATCAAACCCCTTGTCCCTGTTTTCCCTATAACTAGGGCTATGGTTCGTTACCCATCTGCATGGCTAAGACCCACCTGTCCCTTTCCCACATGCCTGAAAAGAAGGGGGCACCCACTGGATTCGTTTTGCCAATCAGAGACGTCCGAGCTAGTATTGGGGCAGGCTTCATCTACCCACTTGTGGGAACAGTAAGTGGAATCTAACACACTGAATCAAGCAATGTGTTAAGACACAAAAAACTGAAGACAAACCTCAGGAGTAGAAACAAAGAGGGAGTTGCTGTGGATGTACAGTCCTAAACCAGCATCCAGCTGCAGGGTTCCCTCGGATCCTTAAAGTCTTAAAAGGCCTTGAATTCATCAATCCAAAAATAAGGCCTTAATTAGCCTTAAGGTCTTAAATCAATCTTCAGAAGTCTTAAAAATGTTAACACATTGTAAGTAGGATGACTGTAATTCAAATCAAATATTAAAATAATTGGTAACATTAATTTATTTTTGAAATATTCCCATTCAGATGTTCAACTGTTCATCTGGGCAATGTGAAATTCATTTTCTAATGTTAATAATGTTGTCTTTCCAAAAATACATTCATATTTCTTACAAAAAAATTGATGTCACATGCACTAAAGGTTTCATTTACAGCAAGCTGGGGTTGAGAACCCACTGTGGGTCATAAAACTGCAAATTTTGGGTCATTAGAGGATTTCCAGAAATTTAAGTTTAAAACTGACTGCTAAAAATGTTTTTTGGCTATATTTGACAAAATAGCAGTTAGATATGGATAAAAACAATTGGTCTATTAGCAATATTTGAATAATTCAACCAAAAATACTTTGATTCATGAGTTTCTGCCACAGTTTTATTATTATTATTTTTTTTGTCATTTGTGTTTATTATGAAATTGGTCTTAAATTTGATTTCATCTGGCATTAAAAAGTCTTAAAATGTCTCAAATTTAACTGTAGGAACCCTGAGCTGGTATATAGGCACAACGGAGCACATTGGATGGGTAATAAGACACCTTTAATCCTAGAATACAGAACATAAGATCAACATAGAATATATCTTTTTAATKGGAAGGTCTTGCTTATTTCAGCATGTTGCATTTTACTTCTTGTACACAATAACAATCTGGACTAGTTGGTTCTTCCCTTTTTACCTGCCACTGTAATATCCAGCACAGACACTTTTGGAAAGTAATGAATTTGATTCTCTTCATCATCTTTTTGGAGTAAAAGCAAATGTAGCTTTAGTTCTTTTTCCACTGACAAACATAACTAGTTTGAACAAAATGAGCTTGATGGAGCCGCTGGGTCAGTGATGGGCCAGGCAGGAAGGAAGCGGCTTCCTGAGTGTTTTGTCTCCTGCTGTTTCACCAGCGTGCCCTCGGGGTCCAGTTTTGATAGTCGGGGCGGAGGTGTCAAACACTGGCCATGCAGGGAAAAGGTTGCAGTTTTTTGGTGCGTCTGCCCTCTCTGCCATGGCTTTGATCAACCACCGTCACAATGACTGAACTATGACTGAGAACTCAAAGGAAGTGTTCCTGGCTGATGTCTGACAAGACGCAATAGCTGTGTCCAAAACGAGAGGCCGGGTCCTCCGAAGGCTGAATTCATCGGCCGCTTACGTCACAGCGCCGTGACGAAGGCCGTCCAAAACCGAAGACTCCTCTGATGCGGCCGACAAATACGTCCTTCCTTTGGCCTGAATCGAAGGACTGGTCCGATGGATCCTTCCCGGCCCACCATATCCCATAATGCGTTGCGGCCCGACTGGAGATTTTCTTATGTTAGTAATGGCGGACGAAGCAAGAGAAAAAAATACATTTAAAATAAAAAATATGGTGGTATAAAAATTTAAATTTTCTAGCGGTTGTGTTTTTAACACTTTTATTATTTGTATAAACATGTTTTTAGATTCGATTTTTGTCAGAAAAAAACCCGCAAAATAAACATGCACCTACGGCGGGACAATTAGTTCTTCAAATATTACCTTTAACTTAATTTTATTGTTTTGTGATATCAATAACGCTAACAAATTGATATTTTTCTAATTTTAATCTAATTTTGCTTCTGTTTAGCGTCGTCACGTTTGCTAGGCGACATGACGTATGCCGGGGTAAGGACGGGAGGCTAGACCGTCCAAATTCACAGACAATTTTTTCCAGTCTTCCTGGTCTATCAAGGACCCGGCCCACCTCGACCGGGTAGACTGGGTCCTTCGGAGGACCCKGCCTGCCGTTTTGGACACAGCCAGTTAGTACCTATTAGCTGAGACAATCACAGCCTTGTAAGAAAATTTAGTGTTCGTTAACTGAAATCATGACAGAACCACATGAATGTTGAATAGATTAAAATGTGAAGAGAATGACCGTACAACACTAGTTACTGGAGTCTGAGCGGGGATTTAATGCTGTCAGTTCAGGCAAGAAATCATCGCTGCCGAAAAACCGGAAGTACGGGTCTATTTACCATGTTCTTCAGTGTCTGGTGCGCCCACTACAGGCCTATGGCTGAATCGCAGACACTCGAACAGAWATCTTTTCCTTATGTCTTATTAACGGTTTATCTATGTGTTGTCATGGTGTTTTAGGCATGTAACTAAAGCTATTTTAATCAAGACATAACAATAGTCAAACAATAGATTATAAGACTCAATCAATACTTAAAAAGGAAAACTATGAATTGGTGTGGTGCTTTTAAAATCAGTTTCTAAATGACTAATAAATTTCTTCAACTTGATGCCTTATGTTACCCGATTAGATAAAATCTACATTTCTTCTGAAACTAAAAAACCTTGACGTTTGTCAAAACAGCAAATTAAAGATGATTTATGTAGACTTGTTTCAGAAGTCTGAGCTAAGAAGAGTTGTGATATGATTGTTATTTTAGCTAAAATAATAAGGCTTTGAAATGTTTTAACTCCTCATCATCACTTCTGATTTTGAGATTCTTATTGTTTCAGAACAAACAGCAACAACTGTCCGTTTCTCTAAATATACATATCTAAATTTTACTTCATTTATCATCAAGTGGCAACAAATAAAACTGTTTGGCTGCACTTGATTCAAAGAATTGGAAAGATTTCACTCAGTGTGTGTGGGGGGGGGTTGTGGGTGGTCTTAAATGCAGGGGAAGTTTAAGGGTCCTCAAAGTATAAAGAACCAGGAAGGGGTCTGATGTCATTCTGTAGGGATGTCAGGGAGGGGTGGCAAGTTGAACAATGAATTCCTGCAGCCTTTTACCTAAACTGTTCAAACGTACAGAAACTGCATCTATATAGCTGATTTAACAAAAGGTTACAACTCATGAAAAATGAAGCAAAGTTAATTGTTTTGGACAAATAAATCCAGTCAATAAATTAAAATAGAAAACCTTTTTTAATAAAAAAAAGATGCAAAAGTTACAGTACATAATGATGCTGTGAACTGATTTTAGTTTGATGTTGTAGAAACTAAACGTTGTGTTGACCGACACTTGTCCAGGGTTGGTGGTAGAAACCCAGCTGCACTGTCTCTCCGGGGTTTTTCTCCACAAAGCCACATTGTGTTTGAGGAAAATGAAAGGACTTATTTGGCCCAGCAAAGTTTCCAACTTTAGCCACGGAGTGTTGTGCGTTTCTGCGAGTGCCAGCTTGTTTTTCAAGCCTGAAAGGAGCGACCAGCAGAACAGCTCGCCTTTGTAGCTTTGAAAACCTGAGAGAAAAAAGGCCCTTTGATATTTAAATATGCTGTCTGATATTTTCTTCTAAAGTGTGAACAAATAAAAGGAGTTTTTGTTGATCAGGGTTCTTGTTTTTTTTTTGTTTTTTTTTGAGAAGTGTGAAATAACAGGCCGCCCATGTTTCATTTGAATAAAGAAAAATAAATAAAATCAGCCTATAGTAAGCTGGAAATGTAAGGTTTTCTGATCACATATTGCTCATGTTTTTAAATTTCTTCATATTTTCTCACCACAGTAAACCCTCGCTTAAACTCATCAAAGCTCATTTAGCTGAGTCACCTTCTGTGATGAAACCTCTGCAAACAGAAAGGAATTCAATGCAGTGATGCTTACTCCTTTTAAATGAGCTCATAGTTGAGTCATCTGCTGGTGAAACACGCTCCAGTTACAGTAACACCCGACAACTGGAGCTCCCGGTTCACGATTTACACGCGTGAACTCTCTGCTTTGCCTTCACTTCCTTCGACAGGAAGCTCTCCGATCACTTCCTCCTGTCCCGTTTCCACTAATGGGCTTCTCAAACTGCCCATGGGTCAGGAGAAGGGAGGCATGCGAAGAATGTTCCTGTGGGTCTAATGAACAAGACGACTTCCTGTTCGTCTCGGACAGGACGGCGTGGCTGGTTTGAAGCGGTGTTTTTAAGASTCACGCCGTTTTCTTTGATGTAGCAAACGCCGGAGCTGGTGTGAACCGACACAACGATTAGACCGAGTTCGCACGCCAAACGTGACTTCGTCATCTTCGGAGTCGTCGTCTGTGCGCTCCGTCGCCTCGTGATGTCACACTTTTTCCGCTTTCTTTCATTTTGGAGACATTTCCAGTGTTTTAATGAAACTAAAATGAAACTGGTCATAACAGTTGTCTCTCCATCACCTGCAGTTGGTCTAGTCCAGGGTTCTGCAACCTGCGGCTCTGGGGCCACATGTGACTCTTTGGTACCTCTGCAGTGGCTCTTTGAAAATGTGACCAAATATAACAGATTTTCTAATTTTTTTGTTTGTTTTTATACTCACAACACTAATAAATTGTATGCAAATATGTGTGYAATACTACTAATAAAAAAATACTAATACAAAAAGTAAAACGTTAGCTCATGCTAGCCTGTTTTCTACCTAAAACACCTTTAGGACTACATAAGAATAAGAATTAGAAAAAAAATGTCTGACTAGGTCAGCTGTACTAGTTTTTATGAAATTCTGTATAAACTATAGCCAGTATTTTTCTTGTGCATGAATGTTTTTTTCTTCAGTCCTGAAGTGTAAAAAAAATTATAAAATTTTCAATATATTTTTTATTTTTATGTTCTCTCCACTGGCCATAAAGGTTCATGAAAAGGCCTTGAAAAGGCCCACGGACCACCAGTTGATAATCACAGCTGTAGCTTATTTTGTGGCTCTGGACACGTTTTATTAGTGAGCCCAGTAAACGGGTCTGGATTATTGTTATTGGACCTGCGGGGGTCGGTCCTGCTCCATCTAACGAAACGTTCTGAAGCTGAATTTTGTGAGATTTTCTTTTGGTTTAGAACAGCTGTGTTGTGATGGATTTAATATGTGGTTTTGGTTTTTGTGTGTCTCCCCTTTTTTATTACATTCTTTTTTAGGCTGCTGACAGATTTATGAGACGTGCTAAAATAAATCAAAGACAGATCGACTTATTCTCCCTGAATTATGTTCAGGAATATAGAAATTTTACAGAAAACTTGTAAATTTTATTTTTTTCTGATAAGTCTGCATTGTTTATGCATTTAAATTAGTTTTAGGTCTTTGTGTTTTAGTATATTCTTTGAAAAAAATGCTTTTAAACAGGAATTTTATAGTAAATTATATCTTTATATATATTTTCATGTTTGATATATTTTTAGGCTTCAGGTTAAAATGATTGTTTTTTTTTTTTTTACTCCTTCAGATGAGTACAATGCCAGGCCTCCCCACCCGACCCTGTTTCTACGACATAGACCTGGACCCGGTCACCGAGGAGATCTCGGGGCTCTTCTGAGCGATGACATCCCTAAAGGTATCGTCTCGATCACATCGACACACTATGTTATCTATGTTTACTTTAATGTGATTTCATGGTTGCTTTAAGCCTAAATTTTAATTGTTTTGGGACTGGAGTATTTAAGATTTTTCTTACTTTTGTACACAATTTAAAACTTTTTTTTCCTGCTCTTCTCTGTCTGATCACAGGATCCTCTGCTTGATGAATGAGTGCTGTGATGTTTCACAGTTAAAAACATCAAACAGAAACCAAAGTGCCTCTGTGTCAAAATAAGTATGTTATATCTGCGCTACAAAATGCAACAAACAGTGACTCAGCAGTTCTCGTGGCTGACTCTTTCAGTTAAAATCACATTTTGARTGAGCAGTCTGGGGGGAAAGCAAAACAAAATTATTTTAGATTAAAGTTTAAGTATTGTGTTTTATGTGGGGATAAAAAAGCGTCAAGCTGAAGCTGGATTTGCACATCAAAGATCTGCAGTCTGAAAGATGTTCTCTACCTCTGTGTCCACTCGTTTCAGTTTTATAATAAAGTTTTAGTCTGCCTTACTTTATTTTGTTTTCCTAAAGTTTTAATATCCTTTATTATTTTTAAAAGAAAGCTGACTTAAATGTTTTAATAATGATGCAAAGAAATGTTTTTAACAGTAAATAAGCTGCTGGGGCAAGGCTCACAAAGCTGTTATAAAGTTCATGTAATGTTTGGGTTAAACATGCTGACTCAGCATTAAGACTTGTTTTTTTTAGTCATAATTTTATTCCATGTTTTTTGGACTAACTGCCTCAACATTTTTAGACTGTTTTGTCTGTTCAACTCTTCAGAACATTATATTCCAACTATTCCTAGCTTTTGTACTTTATGAATTATTTAACTTATTTACTTATTTTTCTTCTCATTGAGTATTAAGTGTTTTTTTTTTAATGTTTAAAATTTTTTTATGGTATTTAAAATTTACTTCAGCGTACCTGCTCTCTTTCTGTCTTTTTTGTCTTATCTGTCCTTCAGCATCTTTTTGTCTTTTTTTTTTCTTTTTACCTTTTTGTCTCCTTATTTTCCTCTTTGTCTTTATTCATCATTCTTGATCTTCAAAACCTCCTTATGCTTTTCCTGTTTTCGTGCTTTTTGTTTCACAGAAAATGTTTCTTTTTGTAGTTTCAGTTATGAATCCATAAGTGTTATTTGTCATTTAACAGTTTAATTTGATTTATTGTTGTTATTATTTGCATCTGTTTGGTAGTTTCTACTTTTCTTTTGACTTGTGACTGAACCTCCAGGTAAAGTTAAAGAGCTTTAATCATCTGAAAACACTTTGGAATAAAACTTTTTACCAACTTTGCCTCTATTTGTGTTTTTTTTTAAATGTCTTTTTTTCCTCTTTATTCTTTGTTCCTACCTTACACGTTATTTCCCTCCCAACGTCTTTGAAAGGGGTCTGAAGGTGGGGACCAGGCCCCTCAGTAGCGTCTGTCGTTAAATGAAGTGTTTGAAACGAAAACACGGCTGGAATTTCACACCTCCAGCAGTCGGGCTGTTATTGTGTGGAGCAGACAGGAAGTGGCAGTTAAATGTACAGTAACGGCTCCAGGGACGCTGTCGTTTTACTGTCGGGGGGCTGAACCTTCTGATGAAAGGTGATGACAGATTTAAAGTCACGCTACAGATGAGGACTTAGACATCATCTACTCATCACTTTGTAACGTGCAGGAAAATTCCTGCTTTGTTTTTTCAAGCTGCGGTTCATTTTGAGTTTTGTTTCTCTTAAGAGAGAAAAGTTCAGGACCAAGGACACAGCCCTGTGGACCACTTGCCATGTTTCCATCCAATTGTAATACAAATTTTGAGCGAATTTTTAAAAGGTGGCAAAAAACAATTAGAAATGCAAATTAGGCGTGTTTCCATCTACTGGTTTGAAGCGAATCAACCAGGCTACGCAAAGCGTAATTTCATCAGATGTTGCCGTTACACACAGTTACAAACTAGTGGGGACCACACATCTAAGGACAATGAAGAGATGTTTTCAGGAATGTGTTGCCGTCAGTCAGGTTGTAATTGTTCTGTCATATCAACTAGTATTGGCGATGTTACATGCTCAGTCCACATGTAAACTACCTGTTGTTGCTTCCAGACATGTTTTTGCACTTTTTTTTGTCGAATTTTGCTGTTTAATGTGACACTTCAAAATCTGCAAAAAAATACATTTAATGGAAACAACAGGACTACTTTTATCAGCCGAATGACTAATCTGTGCTTGTTAGGCTCAAGCTTTAGGTCTTTCATGTGCCCCTCAGATTACTGCTTTATTGAACCGAGACCAGGACACATCCGGAAAGGCTTTACTGAGAACCTCCTTCCTTTGTCCTCYTCCGCCTCCTCCTCCTCTGGATGATATCAGCATCTATGCTGATAGGCCTGAAGGTCATTTATCTGCTGGTCTGAGCTTTGAAAAGTCTAATTCTTTCATTTTAAAGCAGCAGCAGCTTGAATTATCATTAAATCACAATTAATTTCTTAATCTAAAATATTGTTTCACAAATATCGTCTCTTAATTATGAAAAATAACCAGTGGGTTGTGAATAATTTGATCTGTTTTGTGCCTCTTATTTTTTTCATTCATTTAACAATGTATATCTTTTTTATGCTGTTGCAACAAAGTATATTTTCGTGCAAAGACAACTAAAAGTTTTGGTGTTTACGTTTATTTCTGTKTTTTCTTCTAGGCTTATGAGTTCTTTCATTCTCTGTTACTTTCTGTTGGCTCGTCACGTACCAAGGTTTAACTGTTTATTTCAATTAGATTATCATGTGTGTGATTTTAATCTGATCAACAGATACACAAGGAGCTTTTTGAGCCCGGATATAAAGTCGCAAGAAATTCTCTTAAACTCATGAATCGTACATGTGCAGTTTTAAAAATGTTCTTGTTTCCAAGTCCCAAGTGAACATAATCCAATATGTTTCAGATGTCAGTTCTGATCCATCAAAGCTTAAGAAAAATAGCAATAAAATGTTAATTTATAGTTTCCTGTTGCTCCTGTTTTTCACGAGTCGTAAACCTCAAAGTGTTCAGATTTTTATTTTCTCTGCCCCAGATTAGTCCCACGTGCTCCAACTGTAATTCCGCATTACTAAACATTCACATATTTTAGCTACATTTAGCTCATTTTAGCTTTAAGCTGCAGTTTAGCTAGATTAAAATTTATGTAATTTTGATTTAAGAGTTTAAGTAACTGTAGTTGCTGTTTTGCTGATTTAAAAACTCAGCCATAATTTTGCTAAGTTAATGCTTTTAGCTACAGATTACACTCTAAAAATGAAATGTTGGATTTACTTAACCATGTTATGTGACCTGGTTCCACTTAACGGAGTTGAGTAAATTCAAAGCAATATACTTATGTTCTTTGTTTAAAAAAACTGGTATATTGCTTTGGATTTACTCAACTCAGTTAAGTGGAACCAGGTCACATAACATGGTTAAGTAAATCCAACATTTCATTTTTTTACAGTGTAGCTATTTAGGTCATTTTAGTGTTTAATGCCACAGTTTAGCTAATTTTAGATGCTGCTTTGCTAACTGAGTTTGTGGCTATTTTGCTGAATTTTAGCTGCAAAGTACCTAATTTTAAATTTAAACTACATTTTAGCTAATTTGAACTTTTAACTAGTTTTTTAGTTTATAACAATTTAGCTGATTTTAGCTACAATTTTGCTTATCTTATTGCTTTTAGCTACATATTTGCACATTTTAGGTTAAATATTTACTAACTTGAACTTTTAGTTTTAGGAAATTTTAGTAGCTAAATTGCATATTGAATTTTGCTCATTTTAGCTATTTAATTTAAATTTTAGCAACTGTTGCTAATTTTAATTTTAGCTTCTTTCTGAATTTTGCTTTTGCTACAAATTAGAGTATTAAACAATAAGTTTAACCTGCTGGTTTTTGTTCATTTAACTTTTAGCTATAGTTTTTAGCATGTGGCTACAGATTTGCTGATTTTAGCTATAATTTTCCAAAATTAGCTACTGTTTGCTAAGTTTTGCTGCAGATTTATCTGATTTTTAAACTGTTTTTAGTTTATTGAAAATGTTAGCCTTTTCTTTTTCTGTGTTCTGTCTGCTTTAGCTTGCTGGTTTTAGCTCGTGCTCTTATTTTAGCTTTCTTTTAGCTTGTTTTATCTTTATCAGCTCCTTTCCTCTCATTCATGTTTCAGTTTGCAGATTTTCAGATCTTCAGCCCCTGTGGTTTCAGAGAAAACCAGGTCCTGTAAAGTTTTTATGTTATTCATCAGCTCCCACTGAGGCTGCAGGAGGGGTTGGGGGGGTGGGGGTTAGTTTTTGGCGGGGTACTCCTCAGCCCTCATCAGATCCAWGCTGTCCCGGGGCGGAGCTCCACCTTCCAGCTCACTCTTCAGCTCTGCTCCGGCGCAGTGCAGCCAGTCTTTAGTGCTCTTTTTGTTTTTTATTAGTTTTTTTTTTTTTTAAAGATCAATTTTTAAAAGAAAAAAGGGGTCGATAGTTGTTCCATCAGCATGGGAGCACAGAGCTCAGCGCAGCGGGACGGGAAGAGCCAGGAGGAGGATGCGTCAGCTTCAGCTTCAGCCTCCGGCGGGGAGCTGAGCGCAGAGGTGAAGGTGCTCCAGGACAGCAAGGTACAGCTGTTTTAACCCGTCTTTACTTTAACATTAACCAGAACCCCCCTTTTAAAACGACATATTTCATGTTTGCAAACACTTCGTCCTGTTAAAGCTCCTGCAGAGATGTGCCGCAGAGCTGCATGTGAGCAGGTTGTTGTGCTTTTTTGCTGAGTAATGGCTCGACTTGTCTGCAGTCCCGCAGTAATAAAACCAGCCAGCATCTCGGCCAGGCAGAGACTGAAATATCTGGGMCAAAAACCAGACTTATTTATGTCTAACTTCATATTTAATCAGAATAAGTCCAGCTTTACACCTCAGAGGAAGTATATTCAAATTTATTTTATTTGCAAACAAACTGTAGCCCCCAAACATTTTTGAAACATATATATNATATATTGAATGTTGACCCCAAAGTGACCCCTTAAGTGTTTCCCCCTGGTGAAAAAGCATTAAAAAACAGCTCTGATCTTTTAAAGTGGGGTTATGAGGAAAGCTTACGAACAATCAGTATCTCACCTGCTGTAAATGGCTCTTTGTGGGTCGGAGATAAAGGATGAATTCTGACCAAGTTTGATGGGGCGCATATAAATTAGGGTTGGGCATAATCGTATCGTGTGTGATTAATCGTCAGAAAAACATTAATCGATTGATTTTTGGCACTTGACAATTAATACGGTTAATGCCAACAGGCAGAGTCCGCCCGCTGCGCCTCTCAGCTTCAAATGTGACGAACGTTAAAAAAAGTTCTGTAACTTATTTAACTATCAACACAATTTAAAATTTGATTTATAGCCTGTCTGTAATTTTGACACAATTTAGAACAGATTTTCATGAAGAGCAAATCTTTCCCACTAAATTGGTCATGTGACCATGAAATAAGGGTGTCCAGGGGATTAATCGTCAAATTAATCGTTATCGGCTAAATACCACAATTAATCGTGATTTATTTTTTTTGCCAGTATTGCCCAACCCTAATATAAATATAGATTTTACCTGCAGCTTTGATTATTTACAACGAAATCTACGCTAAGTTGAAAAAGCAAATAGCAGCAGAGGCTAGTTGTAGCAACTAAAGAACAGCTCGAAGCACGTTTAAATGGCAATTGGAAGCAATATAAAGGTTTATGAACTTGAATGAAATCTTTGTTGATAAAGTTGCTTTAAAATGGCAGCGATCCCTGGCTCCTAGCCTTTAGCTTAAGTCAGATCTGAATTAAACACCTTTAAGCTGAGAACATTACAAAAAACTTGAACAGGTAAGATATTTATTGTCCATAACCTTTCCAGTGAACTGTAATTCAAACAGATCTGAACTATGTTTGTGTGATAGATACTTTTTTCCAAAAACACTCAAGGAAAACACAAAGAGAAGATTTTATTTGGAGATTTTATCWGTTCATGCTTTGAAAAAAAAAATCCATGTTTGCTCAAGTTGTTTTGTGTTTTGAGAAATGACCTCATATTTTTGTCGGTTCAACTTTTGTTGAGCTTTAACTTCTTATCACCGGCGCTGATATGAAAGCAGCGTTTTCACAGGAATATGTCTACAGGCTCCAGATGGTGAGATTAAGCTCAGTTTGTGCTTTTTTTTTATCTTTTGAATATTGTGCCGTTAGATTCGAGTCGTGATAAAGACTTGTTTTAGGGCTTCGTCACCGTCAGCGTGTAGCAGCTTGTTGCTCGCAGTTCCCAAAAATTGTCACGTTGGTTTTTTTTTTTCCTGTAGCCAAAAAAAAAAAAAAAAAAAAGGAGAAATTCTGGGGAAAAGATTAAACACAATATCTTGTTTTAGTTTTTTTTTCTTGTACAGATGTTGATCCTTGAAAGTTTTACAGTTACACGACTTTAAAAAGTCCAAATCCACACGTTTGTGTCGATGGATCCATTATAGCCTCTGCTCCTTTTGTGTCACATTTTGATTTGGCTTTAATTTCCTTATTTGTTATATTTTAAAAAGACCAAAATGTATGAAAATAGCAACTTTGAAGCTTCTATAGATATTTTTCAATG